CTGCAGATGTATTTGATGAGAGGGAACCCCTGGTGTCCCTAGAGACATCACTCACCATTGTCCCCAGGCCTGGCATCTCTTCTAGGCTGCTATGAGAAGAGTACCCCTGGCATCGCTAGTGACGTCGTCAAGAGGGCCCCAGGTCTGGTGTCTCCTCATGCTGCTCTGAGAAGAGGGAACCCTGAGGTGTACCTAGAGTCATGGCCAAGAGTGTCCCCAGGCCTGGCATCTCCCTCAGGCTGCTTTGAGGAGAGGAACACCGGCAGAGCTGGAGACTTGGCCGACCAGGGTCACCAGACCTGGCATCTCTAAGGCTGCTCAGGGAGGGAACACAGGGGCACACCTAGAGATGAGGTCCACCAGGGTTTCCCAGCCTGGCGTGTCTGGGGCAGCTCTGAGGAGAGGGCAGCTCTGCCCTCCCTGTGGAATGACCAACCTTGTCCAGCAGTCAGGGTTCCTCTGCTCAGCTCTGAGAAGAAATCTCTCTCATCAGCCTGAGGGCCAGACAGCATCCAAGGTGGCACCCAGACCCTACCCTCAGCCCCCCACTATGCTACTCACCTGAAGCTTGGCTGGGGGTGAAGATGCCCAATAGGAGGGAGAGACACCCTGCTGCTGGAAGAGACACCCCCCTCTAGGGGAGCCAACCCCCTCTAGGGGAGAGACACCTGCTAAGAGGAAAGACAACCCCTGGGAAGGGAGATTCCCTGCTGGGAGGGGAGATGCTTGCCCCCACCAAACCAGACAACCCCTAGGGAAGAGGCACACCCTGCTAGTAGGGGAGACACCCCTGGGAGTGGAGCTACCCCCTAGAAGTGGAGACACCCTGCTGGGAAGGGAGAAACCTGCTGGGAGGGCAGAGGCCCCCACTCTAGGGGAGACACCTCCATGGGATGGGGTGACACCCTGCTGGGAGGGGAGAAGCTCCCGCTGGGAGAAGAGCATCCTGGACTTCCTGGGGATGCTGCTTCTTCCTCCCCCCAGGAGTGTTCCCAAGCTGTCACTAGGTCTGGCTGTGCTGTCTGTGGCATGAGTAGGACTGAAATCTCTAGAGAGCACAAAAGGGAGTCCAGGAGCCACCTCCCTGCACCCCAGCCTGTCCCCCACCAGGTCAGGCCTGCTGTGGCCAGGGGCCAGGCAGCCACAGTGAGCCCTTCTTATTCCTGTGCCCAAGGGCAGAGGCCAGAAAGGGGCCACCTGGAAGTGGTCTTTGACACAGGGTGACAGAATCCCACATTAGGATCAGGGGTGTGAGGAAAAGCATTGAAATCCCAGCCCATGGAGGCCAGTATAGGGGTTGAGAAAGCCCCAGCAGCTTCTGGGAGCTGCAGACTGCACCTGCCCCCTGCCTCGGGTGCCCAAAAGACTTACATAGCCCAGATAGCCCTAGGCTGATCTGAGGAGGAACCCCAGGCATCGCTAGAGACATGTTCCAAGATATTCCCTAGCCTGGTATTTCCAAAGGCTCCTTTGAGGAGAGGAACCCGGGCATCCTTAGAGACATGGCCAACCAGGGTCCCCAGGCCTGATGTCTACCCCAGGCTGCTCTGAGGAAAGGGAACCCCACGTGTCCCTAGAGACATGGCGGAGAGGGTCCCCAAGCCAGGCATCTTCCTCAGGCTGGTCTGAGGAGAGGAACCCCAGGTGTCCCTAGAGATGTACCCAAGAGGGTCTCCAGGCCTGGCATCTCCCCCAGGCTGCTTTTGGTGGGTACCCCTGGGATGCCCTTAGAGACATGGCCTGTGAGGGTTTTCTGGCTTCTCAACTTTTCTGGCTGCTCTGAGGGGGCGATTCTGCCCCCCTTGTGGAATGACCCACCATGTCCAGGAGTCAGGGTTTCTCTGCTCAGCTCTGAGAAGAAAGCTCCCTATTCAGCCTGAGGGCGACACAGATTCCAAGATGGCAACCAGTTCCCTCCCTCAGCCTCTCTGCCTGCAAAACTCACCTGAATCTTGGCTGGGAGTTGAGATGCCCCCTAAGAGGGGAGACATGATTCTGGGAGGAGAGATGCCCACACACATTACCCCAGATGCCCCCCCAGCAAAGAGAGACACTTTGCTGGAAAAGGAGACACCCCTGGGAGTGGAGCCAGCCCCTGGGATTGGAACACCCTGCTGGGAGGGGAGAAGCCCCACCCTAGGGGAGACGCCTTCCAGGCAGAGGCGCAGATGTGGAGTCCTCGGGACACTTCACTCATGAACCCCAGGGTAGAAGGCTAGAAAACAGGGCACTGCAGAGGCCTCTGGGAAGTGTAATCTTAGCCAGGGACTGGCCCCACTTAGGAGCATGGGTTTTAAGAAAGGAAGTGGTCATCATTAAGGGAAAGAGTGCCTGCATGCAGAAGTAACCCCCCCAGAGGCCTCTGGGAGTTGCAGGATGCACCCCACCACCACCACTTAGGGGATTCTAGATAATTCACCGTGGAGGCCTCTGGGAGCCCCAAGTTGTACATTCACTCAACAATCCCAGGGATTTGGGGAAACGTAGTCTGGTGTTCTGCCCATAACAGCCCTCACTTCAGTAGCCTATGGCAACTACAAGCAGCATGCTCACCGAACTACCTCCAGGATTCTGGGTAGCATTCTCACCAAACAACCCTCACTATGGGGTCCATAGGAGCTACAGGCTGCATGCTGGCCCTGGTCTCCCAAGGATTCTAGACAATACAGCCTGATGACTGACCATACAGCCATCACCCAGTGGCCCCTGGAATTTGCCAGATGACCCTCCCCACTGTGAACAGATACACCCATCAAATCCCAGCATCATCTGTTTTCCTCTATAAATTTTAGTCACATAATTAAAAGAACTGCTTAATATAGCCATGTTACCAATTGAAAATAATCAAGAATAATTCCTTAAGATCAAGTGTCAAATCAAGATTTCTCAAATTATTTCAAATAAATTTCCAGACATAAAGGAATTGGGTTCAAACTAGCAGCATCCCAGCATTTAATGTTTCCCAAGTCCTCTTTCTTCAGCTTATCACCTATTGATTGAAAAAAGTAGGAAATTCAGACTGGAATCTCCCAGTCTGCTGGTATGGTCTGGCTATTCCTAGTGTCTGGGTTAGGGTCAGGGGGTTGCCCATGCCAGGCACCACTCTACACTGAGCTATAACCCTGCCCTAGGCCCTTCTTTTAACATTCACTTTTCCTCTTTCAGTTTCTGCTTTGTTATGTTGAAGCCACAGCCGTCTTTGCAGGATTGGTGTTTAACATTGAACTGGCTCTTCATTAAATAGACTTTATTGCTGGTTTATTTCCTTCCCTAACCTCTATTTCTCTGAAGTTAAAAAAATGTAACCCAACTTCTGGTTAGTGTTCAAATAATTTTATTTATTTTTAATTCTTATATGTAACATGTGCCTTTATAAGCACATAGCTGTTCTATAACTATCAGTCTGTCTTACACTGAGGTCATATTAACCACTCACACCAGTTAACTAACAGACTCTGTCCTACCCACACAACCCCAAGGTGGGGATGAGGCTTTTGAAGCCACATGGGGGTGACTCTGGACATGACTGTCCACTGTGTTCCCAGAGAAGTCACACCCAACATAAACAAGCCAGCCAGGTGTCCAAGGTGGGAAGGTTGCTAGATGGAGTTTGCCAATGACAATAACCGGACCTTAAGAGGTCACTTCTTTGGACTTGGGGAATCTTACCTGGTGGTCATGGGTATGGGGCTGGGTTAACTGCAGAGGCACACGTAAGCCTGATGACTGTAACATCTGGGCAGTGGAAGACCTAGATCCAGACAGTGGAACAGATGTGTCATCAAGGAACCTAGCGTGGAGAAGGCTAGGCAAGGAGTCAGAATCCCATCTTCAAAACCCAGATGTGGTAGGCAGAACAGCCCCCAAAGATATCCAGGTCCTCATTCCTAAAACCTAGGACCACAGCAGTTGACACCACAAGGAGGGTTAAGGCTGCTCATTCCAATGCAGGAAGGTGCTCCCAAGCCACCTGAGCAGGTCCAAGTGACCACAGTACCCTTCAGAGCAAGGGGAGGCAGCCGCTGGAGAAGGGCTAACAACAGAGCAGTCAAAGCCAGCAGCAGACTGCTGGCTTCGCAGAGGTGGGAAGGGAACTGAGCCAAGGAAAGCAGGGGCTCCAGCAGCTGAGGGCACAGGAGTGGGTTCTCCTCAAGCTTCCAGAAGGGGCCATGCCACCACATGGGGACAGTCAGGGAACCACCAGTGTCAGCACCTGTGGGCCTGAGCCACATCCTAGGTATTGTGACAGCAGCAGGCAACTAATGCACCATGTGATCACAATTACACCTCAACAGTCATCGCCAGATTAGGAAGGGTACAATTTGGGGATTTTGAGGTCTGGGGCTGCAATTCAACTAAAAAAGTAAGATCTATTTGATAAACTCCTCCAGGTCTTCATTCAAAACAAAGTCACAGAATGTACTACATCAATATTAAAAACAAGAGCGGTATCTGCTATAGCCAAGATCAGGTACAGCAGAATTAATAACCAGTCACTGAACACACAATGGACTGAGTTCATTACCAGGATGAGAATGGAAAGGCTCGGAGTGGGCCACACTGATGAAGATGCTGCCACACAGGAGGCACACTACCAAGTCCAGGCCCATGAGTTGTTAAGCTGTGAAGAAATGACAGGAGGTGAAGAGCTGGAGCTAACAGCAGCTTCCCCAAATAGGGTTCAGGCTGAGGGCAGTTAGCCAAGTGAGCCCAGTGCCACATTGCTGGCCGTGCTCCGGAGCCTCCAACACCACATGCTTCACGAGGCTGCACAGGGCAGGGGAGACAGGAAAGCCCAGGATCACACAGCCTGTTATACGCTCAACACAGAGAAGAGGCTCCCCCCCATGGAGCTCCCACTGTTCCTAACGTGCTGGTCACAGGACCCACAGAACACATGGCTTAGAAAGTGCTGCTCACTGCTATGTTGAAAACAAGTGAAGGTGGGGGGAAGGGACCTGGATATCGTGAGTTACAGCAAGGAAAACAGAAGACACTGCTGACATGAAAGTCTTTTTAATTTGGTTAATACACATTTGACGAAATATCTTAGAATAAAATAATCCTGAACAGGTACAAGGTATTTACAGTAACATAACTGTGAAAATCAAACCGATATATTTCTTTAACATTTACAAAAGCTCTTACTATGAATCTGGAAGACTTTCAACTCCTACCCACTACTCTGGTCTTAAACCCAACAGGGGGAGCGAAGCCCAGCAGTACGAGGTACAGAACACTAACACATTTGGCAGTTAAGGATCTGCTGTGGGCTGGGGTGTGGCTCAGTGGCAGAAAGAGCTCTGGCCTAGCAAGAGGTCCTGGGTTTCATCACCAGCACCCCAGAAGAGAAGAGGGGGGAAAAAAGCTCATCTGAGATCATCCATTAATTTGTTAGTGTGGGCCGACAGGAAAGTGAGGGCAGGACAGCAGATGGAAGACTCAGATGTACTTGACTGAGGACGAGAAGAGCCCCCCAGGCCTTCCTCACAGCCCCTGCAGAAGGCTGCAGATTACTTCAAAGACTTCCTTGACTTTCCCTGTCAGCAGAAAATCAGCAACCCTGAGACTCAGCTTTCCATGACATAAAAGTTTATGATCATCTAAAAACTGTTCAAGATTTATAAAATAATTTTACATGATCAAATAGAAAATAACTCTTAGGATTTTAAAATACATCAGGGAAACAAAATTTTTCTTAAGTTTACTTTTCATGCCTATTCTTGAACATTCCACCTAATAATTTTTCATGTGGTGCTGGGGACTGAACCCAGGGCCTGGCACATGCTAAGCAAGTGCTCTACCACTGAATTGCTCCCGAGCCCTGTACCTAATAACCTCTATTGTCTGAAACTGGGTTTTACACACACGCAGACATATTTTAACAGGGGTTCAGAACTTGCTCATTTACTATACAGAATGCCTACTTCTCTGTGTTACTATTTAAATATATTTAAAAGAAATGAGAAGTTTTAACTATCTGAAATATACAGTAGAAATTTGTTGATTTACAAGACAGCCACATAACAGCAGAAAAAAGTACTTATCCTTTCAACACTAGTGAAACAATCACACACGGTACACGCTGCACATTACCATCTACTGGCCCAACCAGGCCACGTAACAAGCTGCAGTCTCCACAGACAGCATTGTACAGCAAGTGTTCACACTGTGCTCAAAAATCAAATCTGTGGCTCCTCCAAGGAGGACTCAAGAGCTTCCATCAGCTTTTTATTTGCCTCTTCATTATGCCTGCTTTGACAATGAGTTAGGTGTTTCTTAAAGCCTCTCGGGAAATTGGATTCAAAATTACAACGTGGACATTTAAGTAAACTTTGCCCATGAGCTGCTACATGATTCTTAAGGAGAGATTCCAGAAGAAAGGCCTTTCCACAAATTGTGCACTTATAAGGACTGTGGACATTGTGCTTATTAACCAAATGATGCAAAACAGCACCTTTCTTCATAGCACGACAGCAACAGATCTTGCAATAATATTTCCCCTTCCCACGCTTCATGTATTTTGCAATCTCCTCTTCTGAGATAAATGCTTCTTTTTCTTCAGTGAACTGTAGCACATTTCGGGATTGCTCTGGACTTGTCATGTCCATTTTGTTCTCTTTGCCAAAATCAATAGATTCCACATCCACCTGCTCTTGATCACTGCTAGACTCCTGGCCCTTCATGTCTATGGCATCCAGGTCTGTTCTGAGGTACTCACTGCTGCTCAGCTCAGCATCTGAGCTCTCCTGGCTATCCTTCTTGAGCTTCTTGGAGGAAGGAAATAGGGCATCTTCCAAGAGTTTCTTGGGAGTGGCCAGAAGCTCTTCCTGAACCAAAAGATCACATTTTTGGTCCTCTGCAGCATCTATCTGTAGCTCATCACCAAGCCCTGCTGCTTTCTGAGCCTCTGAGAACAAAGCAGACTTGGGCAGTTCAGGGAACAAGGCATGCTTCCGGGACTCTGGGAAAAGAACACGTTTCCGTGGCTCAGGAGAAGCAGGAGGGGCTGCTCTGGAGGGCTCAGGAAATAGTGCAGACTTTCGAGACTCAGCATCAATAGAAAGGACAGGCTTCCAGATATCCGAAGCCATTCTTGGGGACTCAGATGACCCAGAAGGACCTGGCTTCCGGGTTTCAGGGAAGACAGCAGGTTTCTGAGGTTCCATGACAAAGGAAGACTTCCAGAGATCAGGAGAACCACCACGGGAACTTTTTTGAGACTCAGAAAAATCAAATGAAGCAGGAGAAGTTTTCCGCTGGTCAGAAGAAAGCTTCCAAAGGTCTGGTGACCCTGAGGGTTTCCTGAGCTCTGGAGAGCCTGCTGGGCTACGAATCTCTGGGGAGAGTGGCGGGCCTGGTCTGCGAAGTTCAGGAGACACTGGGGGAACTGCTTTCCAGTGCTCAGGTGACAAGGCAGGGGATGACTTTCGGAGCTCTGGTGGTCCAGACTTCCACGACTCTGGAGATGTAGGGGGAGTTTTCCAGGAGCCAGATGAGACTGAAGACGACTTCCAGGATGCAGGGGACACAGATGGAGCTGGTTTCCAAGGTCCAGGTGATATAGAAGGAATTGGTTTCCAGGGTCCAGGAGACACAGATGGAGCAGGTTTAGTTGGCTTCCAAGGTCCTGAAGATGCTGAAGGACTGGATTTCCAAGGCCTCGGGGATCCAGGTGGCCCTGGCTTCCAGGAACCTGGCGACACAGCTGGGGCTGGTCTCCGGGGCTCTGGGGAGACAGCAGGAAATGGCTTCCAAGGTTCAGGAGACTCTGACGGGGATGGCTTCTTTGGCTCTGGAGAGGCAGTGCGGGTGGGCTTCCGAGATTCTGGAGATGCAGTTGGGGACAGCCCCCAAGACTCAGGGGAAGCAGCCAGAACCGGTGACTCAGGAGATGAGGCTGAAGGTGGTCCCCCTGTGTCTGCAAAGTGAGAGTGCTTCTGAGGCTTAGGGTTAGCAAGAGCAGCCTTTACTGGCTCAGGAGACATAGGGACAGGTTTCTGTGGCTCTGGAGAGGGGACAGGGACAGGCTTCTGCAACTCAGACACAACAGGTGCTGATTTTGGAAGCTCAGAAGAAACAGGAACAGGTTTCGAAGGCTCCAGAGGAGGAGTTGTTGCCTGCTCAGGAGGAACTGCAGGGCCGGGTTTCTGAAGCTCCAATGGAGCAAGAGGATCAGGTTCAGGGGACTCTGGAGACAGAACTGGACCTAGTTTCTGTGTTTCTATGGAGAGGGAAGTCCCAGGTTTCAGGAGTTCTGCTGAATTAGAGGGTGTTTTCTGGTGTTCAGGAAGAGGGGGCATTCTCAAAGGATCTGTTTCTTTGTTCAACTGACTTTTCAGTTTATCATTCCATTTTTCTGGGGCTGCATGTTTGGATGTGATGTGATAGTACACATTGGAGTACATTTTGCTCGTGAAGAAGCATTTATGGCAGTGAAAGAGCTTTGCGCTTTTCTGGTAAAATATCATCTTACCTAAACCCCCAGCATCCATTTCATCACAGAATTCTGGGTGGATGGTGCCCATGTGGATCTGCACATTTTCATAATCGGTGCCTCTGAAACTGCAGTGGTCACACTCCAAACGTACAGATGGTTTCCGAAGTTCCTGGAAAACTTCCATCTTCTTTCTATCACCAACACATACAACTGCGTTCTTTAAAAACTTTCAACACTGTGCAACAAAGTAAAAATAAATTATTTTTACAGACATTGTTTTAAATAAAATGCTGTCCCAGTTCACTCTATAACTGCATGAGTTTAGGTCTAGAATAGCATATGCTTTATTAGATATATCTCCAAATATTTTGAGAGACGCATATGGAACTAATTTCTGAGTCCTAGGTACTCTACTGGTTTTCCATACCTTATCAGGACAGGAGACAGACAGGCGCAGGTGGTAGGAACATAATTCTATTGCTGACCCACACATGCTTTCTTTTCTAAGAAGCAATTTTCCTGCAGCACTGACTGGCCTAAGTGGACAGACTATGTCACATTCCTCAGCAAACTACCTGTTATCTGAAGAGAAATGCAGGCCTGAAATAATCTGTCTCATAATTTTAGAATAATATTTATTCACCAAAAACACTAGTTTGCATAAAAATTTAAAACTTAAGGCTATTATCCTTGCAAAGCTCAGTTTTAAATTATGCTTTCTCATTTCTTAATTTTTTAACCATTTAATAAACTTTTCCTAATTTTGATTTTTTTTTTTTTTATATTTTGTTTTAGTTGAGACACACTATCTTTATCTTATGTGGTGCTGAGGATCGAACCCAGTGCCCCGCACATGCTAGGTGAGTGCTCTACCACTGAGCCACAATACCAGCCCCTTGTTCTTTTTTTTTTTTGACCTTAATATGGGGTATTTTGCAGTGCTGGGACCTGGGATGGAAACCAGAGCCTTGCGCATGCTAGGCAAGCTCTACCACTAAGTTGAGCTACACCTCCAACCTGAAACATGTCACTTAATTCCATATGGTTTAAGGAGACAAGAATCTAGCCCCATTTTTTCACCCTGAATCACCTGTCTCAACAACCCTGATCACACAGCTCTTTTTCCATGTGAGGACCATTTAGTATTTACTAACTTCCATGTATAACTCTACATTCCCTTCATTGCTACTTCCGTTCTGGTATGCCAATCTCAGCATAAGAGCATAAGAGATTCTATAATTACTGTATATTGTTTAGTTTATGCCGCAAGTGGGCTGCAAAATCTTTTCTCATTATCAGCCAGGCACAGTGGCCATGTGCTGGCGTCCCAGCTACTCAGGAAACTGAAGTAGGAGGATGCCTGAGCCCAGGAGGTCAAAGTCAGTCAGGGCAACACAGGGAGGGCCTGTCTCTAAAATTTTTTTTTTTAAAGTTTTCCTATCAAATGGCACTTGACCTTTTTACCAAAACGACAAGCCACTGCAGACAGCATGTGGGATGTTCTGTGCCAAGGATGATGGGGAAGGCATATTCTTTCTATGGGACTGATCCTCAGAGAGCCGAACAGGTCAGACACTTCAGTCACAGCATCAGAACACAGATGAGAAAGATTGGATAACATGCCTGATTCTGATACGTTCTGCTTTTTTCTCCTCTTTGTTTCTGGTGGCACTGGGGATTGAACCCAGGCGTATGATAGGAAAGCACTTTACCAACTGAGCTATACCACCAGTCCATAAATTATGTTTTAAAAGATGTTACTGCTGACTACTGTTTTCAACTACCTCTATCAGTAGTGTCTCATTTGCTTTTTTTAGTCTTTTTTTTTTTTTTTTTTTTATCTAAAGCTAAACAGAAGATAGACATTGCCCAGCAATTACGTCTTTTAGAAAATTACTTTTGGGCCCAACAAGACTATACCAGTAGAAAAATATAATAGTTATAAGTTCTGAAGAAAAATCTCTAAAATGATTAACTTATAAACATGATGAATAAACATGCTTCAGATTAAGATAAAATAAAGTTTTGTCTCAATAACCCCATCTGGCAGTGGCGACAGTGAACAGCCAAGAGCTGCTGGTAGCAAAGCAGCATCATGACACACATCTCATGGGCATCACAGAGCTCAGCTGGTCTCCCTTCCTCTTCCTGTCACCTAAATTCCACCGTTCATGCCTGCTGCCATCAAGTCTCATCACTGTACTCAAATAACCTCTTTCTTCAAAAAGTTCTTCAAAGAATGTGAAATAATTCATTCTTCATACCCCAATTCTACAGAGACATGCATGCATATTCAGCATACCTTCATGCAGTAGTGAGACAGGTGTGGAATTTTTCCTGGATAACTCCAGCACTTTTCAAAAATTTTTAATTATAAAATATTCTCCTAAACATTAAAAAATGATAAGTATTAAAACAAACAAACAAACAGCACATGCAAAGAAATGCTAGTGAAATAGCGCTTTATAAACATATGGAAATGGTAGGAGACCTTCAGTGATACACAAAATTATAAGAGGTTATGAGGGGCAAGGGGGAGGGGGAAAAAAGGGGAGAGAATTGAACAACAGCAGAGGAGGTAGAGAGGGAAGATGGGAGGGGAGGGGAGGGGGGATAGTAGGGGATAGGAAAGGTAGCAGAATACAACAGTCACTAATATGCCATTATGTAAAAATGTGAGTATGTAACAGAAGTGAGTCTGCATTATGTATTTGGGGAGTTCAAAACCCAATTGAGTCAAATGTATGAAAGATGATATATCATGAGCTCTGTAATGTTTTGAACGATTAATAAAAAAAATGGAAAAAAAAAAAGAAATAGCGCTTTATAAATCCTGAAAATGTTTTTAGGGTGGAGAAGAAACAGTATAACAGACTCTTCCCTGCCACCTACCAGCTATCTCCAGGGACACCTAAGTGGCCTTCAAAGGAGAGGTGGTCTACATGGCTTTCTAACACACAGAAAACAGCCTCAGTGGGGCAAAGATGAGAAGCTGAATCTGGGGGTGGGGGGGACGACAAAACAAAGGAAAGGTAATCAAAATTACAACTCCGTGATCATTTGGACCACTCTTGGTTCTATGTCCCTCTTGCCATGGGGACTCCTTCAACAGTGAGGGATCCCACCCAGTAAGCCTAGACAAAGCACCAAAGCCTGCAGTAGGTACCCACTGTTCTTTTCTCACTGTGCACTACCATCAACTATGTAATTATACCCATATAATTATAACCAGACCCCTCTCAAATTCACTACCTGACTTTAGCTTACACAGTCTTGGGTACAGTGACCCGTACTCTTACTTCTCTGTCAGGCACTCACACACCTCCTGGTGCAGCGCGTAAGGAACTGATGTTCTGCTGATCATCAATGTTGTTGACATGCAGCCGTGGAAGAAACAATACAATCAACAGGACCCACAGGAAAAAAGAAAGAGGACTGGCAGGAGGAAAGATGGGGGTGTTCTGACGGAGAGGAGGAAGGGATGACATACCCAGTGACTGCTCTGGCCTATTCTCTCCCTGTGAGCATTTCAATTAGAAAGTTTCCTCATCTGCTGAATTTGCTGACAAGAACAGAATAGAGTACACTCACCATGAACAGAAAACCACTGCCTATATATCCTGATAAACTCCAGCACTTCCACTTACTCCTTCCTGTCTCCCCTTGGCTCAACACTCTTAATTTTGACACCTGACCATGCTCCCCCATTCATCACTCTGCTTGCTACCATGGACAACTCCAAACCCTACAAGCCCAATGTAACTTGCCTGCTTACAATCCCTATCTGCCAAACACCTGCAGTACAAAATCTCAACACAGCACCGAAAGCTCCCGACCAGACTGCTTTTTCAAAAGTACTGACCACATATAACTCCTTGACTCTTCTGAAGCTTCTGGGTCTTTCCACAGACATTTCCTGCCCTTTACATTCTGCCTTGCTACCTACCCATCAGGCAAATCCTTTCATCCCTCAAACTGGTTACCTTTTTAGACAATGGCCAATTTCCCGTTCCCCAACCATCCTTACATCCAGCTATATGCATACTTCCATGGTACAAGTCAGCCTGATTCCACACCAGGTCATGGTTTTCAGCACATAGGACTATCCACTTACCTCCGAAACCCTCGTACACCCTTTAAACACTGTGTGCTCAGAAAACATCTGCTCAATCCAACATTCTCTTAAGAAGGTTGAAGACCCAATATTAGACTCAAGGACTTTAAAACCAGAAGTAACCTGAGCACCCATTTCAGGGAGCATCGACTTTAAAATTCCAACTTAGGAGACGAGGAAACTCAAATCTACATTAAATGGCTTGCCCAAGATTATGACCAGCAGCTGACCAAGACAAAACAGACTTCTGTTTCTCCAGACTCTCTCGAGTGCATCATGATCCAATGAACACACTGAAATTCAGTAAGGCCTTGAGAAGCCAGTACAATGGACCAAAACTAACAAAATGAACCTTAACAAACATTTAGAATTCACACACCAATTGCATAAGTACAGCACTACAGAGAGCCATGTCCCATATTCTGTACTGGGCAGAGCATCCCACACTCCACATACAAAGTCTCTAGCTCTGGGCAGGAGAGCCGGCACTCCAACAGTCCCTAGCAAACTAGTGAACATGCAAAACAACAATGCAATGGCAGGTGGCACTGGAAAACAAGTCACTTAACTTCACACGCAGAAAAACTATGGATAACACAGAAGCTGTTCTAGAAGCAACAATGGAAGCCAGCAGAACAGATTTTAGCTCCACAGTTTTACAAACTACTCCACCATGAACTGAAACAAGATGCTTTGACAGTAGGGCCATAATCAGAAGCTAGCAAGGTACAGGAACAGAGTTTTGAGTCCAATCTCTCTGTTTTACAACTGAGAAAACTGATGCTGAGGGAGAGAAGCAGCTTCTCAAAGATTACAACATTAGGTCAGAAGACCATGGATTCTAGAGTCCAGGTCTCTGTCATAACACAACGCTCTCTCTTTCCCACTCTGGCTGCACCATCCACAGGGGCATTCCAGAGAAGTCCAGAATCTTAAAGTCCAGCTTTAAGATTCCAGAAAGAAAAAAGATAAGAAAAATTCCCCTAAGTTTCTGAGCTTCTAATACTAACTACAAATTGTCAAGATAAACAGAAATTTCTCTCTGCCTACTTTTCACCATTACGGACTGCATCTCTGATGCTCTGCCCACCCACAGCACGCAGTGCCACGCCACACTCTACAGCATTTATTTCCTTGAGGTCTCACACGACGGATGTCTTTTAAATGCATTCACATGAAAACCCAATTACGCAGAGCTCGTGTACGTCTAGTCGGGTTCTCTTCGTCGCCGGCCGGTTCTTTTAGTTAACCAAGTTATTTCCGAGCAGTTCCATGCTTTACACAACGTTGGCAGAGACACAAAGGCTTCCCACAAACCTCTCCTACGCGCCCCGTTTCTACACTGCAGCCGCATTAATCAGCGCGGGGCTTTTCCAACGAGAGTCGCCTGGACAGCGACCCAAACACGGGCTCACGGGCACCCGCCAGCGTCCCTCGGAAACGTCACCGCCCGCGGGCTCCCGCGCCCGCCGCCGGGCGGAACCCCAAGCTCGCGTCGGGACTGCGTTTTCCTCCGGGTCCCTCACCCCGCCCCCGCTCGCCCCGGCTCCACGCGTCCCCGGGCGCAGCCTCGCGCGGCCGCCGCTGACCGCACCACAGCGGGGAAGGCGCGCGGCCCACACAGCGACCCGGCCCGCCAGCTCCTCGGCACCCGCTCTCACCCTCGGCGCGGTGGCGCGGAGAGGCCTGCTGCGCGGGATCCCTAATGGCGGCTGGACGCGGGGACCGGAAGTGCCGCGTGCCCGCCCCGGAAGTGCAGTGCGCCTCCCGCCTCCGTCCTCCCAGTGCCGCGGCGAGCGTCAGAAGGTTCCGCTGCGCAGGCGAGTTCCGGCGTCCCTCGATTTCTCCCGGTGTCTCCTGGCTTCCGGCGTCCGCGGGTCTCTGTGGTTATTGCGGTTTGCGCGGGTTTATTTTTAAAGGCGCAGGGCTTCATAGCATTAATATGTTTTTTTATTTATTGATACTTGGTGCTGAGAATCAAATCCAGTTCCTCAATCATGCTAGGCCGCTAAGCGGTCTGCCACTGAGCCACAATCCCAAGCCTGTATTTTTACTTTAAATGCTTTCAAAAAGTTTTAAATGTCACAGTTTAATATACTGTGAATTCATAAAACAATGTAAACACAAAAATGCAGTGTATAAAAGTAAAATAAACACTGTTTTAGGATACAAATTTACAATAAAACCTAGGAAATAACATCCTCTAAACAAGTTAATTCTTATGAAGTTCTGTTGCTTTGCTTTCCCTTTACTTGCCTGTGCCTTTGGTATCATATCCAAAAACTCATTGTCAAATCCAGTGTCCTAAACATTTATGCTGTTTTCTTCCAATACTTCAGGTATTGCGTTCAGGTCTTGATATACTTTGAATCAGCTTTTGTATGTGATAAGGGTCGAGCTTCAGTCTATTTTGGACATCCAGTTTTCTCAGCACCATTTATTGAAAGGGCTATCCTTTCTCCTCTTAAGTGGACTTGGCACCCTTGTGAAAAATTATTTGATCATATATGCAAGGGTTTTCTGAGAGTGGGGAGCTATGTGTTCCATTGGTATGTCTGTCTATATGCCAATACTGTACGGTTTATTACCTTTTTTTTTTTGATAATACCTTTTGAAATCAGAATGAGTGTGTCCTCAAGCTCTGATCTTTTTTAAGATTGTTTGACTATTTGAGTTCCCTTGAGATGCCTTGGTTTTTAGGACAAATTTTCTTCTTAGGAAAACGTATTGACTTTCTTGGTTCCTTTATATATGATTGACAGCTTTACAGTATCGTTTTCCAGCCCAATGGGTAGTGCACACCTGTAATCCCAACTACATGGAGGCTGAGGCAGGAGGATTGCAAGTTTGAAATCAGTCTTGGCAATTTAGTGAGATCCTGTCTCAAAATAAGAAGGGCTAGAGGGCTGGAGTTGTGGCTCAGTGGTAGAGCACTCACCTAGCACGTGCAAGGCCCTAGGTTGGATCCTAAGCACCACATAAAAATAAGTTAATAAGGGCTGGGGGTATGGCTCAGAGGTCGAGCGCTTGCCTAGCATGTGTGCGGTACTGGGTTCAAGCCTCAGCACCAAGTAAGAGTAAAGTAAAGATATTGTGTTCACTTTTAGCTAAAAAAAATATTAAAAAAATAAATAAAACAAAGGTATTGTGTCCAACTACAACTAAAAAGTAAATATTAAAAAAGAAGAAGCGCTGGAGGTATAGTTCAGTGGTAAAGTACTCCTTGGATCAGTCCTGGATAGTGAAAAAAGAAAAATTGTCTTCCAATTCATGTACATGAGATGTGTTTCTCTTTATTTATGTCATCTTTAATTTCTCTCAGTGATGTTTTCAATTGCTATGTAGTTTTCAATGTTTAAGTCCTTCACATCTTTGGTTAACTTACTTTCTACATACTTTTATGTTGTAGTTATGGAATTAAAGTGTTGTAATTTGCTTTTCAGATTTCTCATTAAGAAATGCAACCAGTTTTTATGTAACTTTGTCTCCCTATACTTTGCTAAATGAATTTGTTGGTTCTAACAGGGTTTTATGATAATTTGGGGGTTATCTATATATAAAATCATATAGTATAGCCTGGACTTGGGCATCCCTGTAACCCCAGCTACTTAGGCTGTTGAAGCAGAAGGATCATGGGTTTGAGACCAGCCTAGGCAACATAGCAAGCCCTTGTTCTGAAAAAAAAATCATATAAAATCTATATAAGCAAAGATAATTTTACTTCTTTTTATTTTTCTTGCCTAATTGCTCAGGCTAGAGTTTTCACTACTACTTTAATAGAATTGTGAAGGTGGGAATGCTTGCATGGTTTCTTAGAGGAAAGTTTTCAGTCTTTCACCATGAGTATGATACTCACTGTGGCTTTTCATACCTGTTTTTTTATTGTGTTGAGGTAGTTTCCTTCTATTGATTGTTGAATGTGTTCATCATAAAAGGGTGTTTTATTATGGGATTTTCTGCATTGATTGAGATGATCTACTGTTTTATTTCCTTTGGTCTGCTGATGTCATGTATTACATTGATCAGTTTTTGTATAAACCATCCTTGCATTCCAGGAATAAATACTGCTTTGTCATGGTGCATAATTCTTTTAATGTGTTGCTGAATTGGATTTGCTAGTATTTTGTTGAGAATTTCTGCATCAGTACTCATTCCTGATGATGTTGGATATTGGTCTATAATTTTCTTGTGTTGTGATTTCTGGCTTTGGTATCAGAATAAGGCTGGCCTCATAAAATGAGTTAGGATGTATTTCTCGTCTTCAGTTTGTTTTGAAATTGAGAACAACATGATCTTCCTTTTCAGCTTTTCTTTAATGTTTCGTAGAATCACCAGTGAAGATGTAAAGGTCCAGGACTTTGCTTTGTTTACAGAATTTGATTCAATCTGCTTACTGATTATAGATTTATTCAGATTTTCTATATCTTTGTGATTTGGTGTTGCTAGGTTTTGTGTTTCTAGGAATTTGTCCATTTCAAATATGTTGTCCAATTTGGTGGTATATAATTGTTCATAGTACTCTCTTAAAATTCTTTTTATTTTGTAAGAAATGAGTGAAATATTCCCACTTTGATTTGAGATTTAGGAATTTTAATCTACTCTAATTTTTTCTTTTAGTCCTCCTAAATAAAGATTTTTCAATTTTATTGATATTTTCAAAGAATCATTTTTGTTTCATTGATTTTTTCCTGTTGCTTTTCTATTTCATTTTTTTCAGCTTTAATCTATTATTTCTTTCTTTCTGTTAGCTTTTAGTTTAGTTTGTCCTTTTTCAAGTTCCTTAGTTGTAAAGTTAGATTGTAGATTGAGATTTTCTTGCTTTTTAATATTTATAGTTATAAATTTCCCCTTTATCGCTTCTTTTACAGCATTGCATAAATTTTGCTTGTTATGTTTTAATTTTCATTCATCTGTAAGTACTTTCTAATTTGTCTTGTGACTTGTCTTTGATCCATTGTTATTTTCAGAGTGAGTTAATTCCCTCAAATTTATAAATTTTCTAGTTTTACTTCATGGTGGTTTTTTTTTTTTGTTTATTTTTTACTTTTAGATTTTTCTAACTCCGTCCTACCTGATCTGAGATAATACATTGCATGATATTTGTTTTTTATGTTTACTGACACTTTAATTCTGGCCTGACACATGATCCATCCTAGAGAAAGTCCCACATGCACCTGGGAAAAACATACGCATTGTTGCTCTTGTGATCTGCGATGCTCAGGGACTGCCATGGGCAGAGACGGCAGATGCACCTCTGGGCCTTGGTTCATGGCCTGACAGCTAGTCCATGTCCCACTGTAGCTCACTTTGTCAGATGCTAGATGCGTGTCATCTCTCCACCCTCAAGGAGCACCAGGCTCATCATCGGAGCCAGGGTGTTTTGTTAACGTGACTCACCACAGGGCAAGAGTAAACTTGGCTAAATTGCCTGCACAGGCCAGAGCACACCAGCAGTGTTCCTAATCCCAGCAACGCTACAAGCCCATAAACCCAGATCCTTTCTTTTGCTCCTTCCAGATAGCCTGACACTCTTCTCAGAGCTGCTTCTCCCTTCCCAAGCAGAGATACAGAGCGTCAAGCCTTAGTTCCTGGTGTCCCCAACAGACGTTCACTGAGCTCAGTCCATCTGCTGTGCTGCTCATGTGCTGCCATTTCCTCACTTCTGTCTGCTTTATCTACACATTATAGGGGGGTTGACCTTCTTTCTGTCATCTTTTCTACATGTCTGTTGATGGTCTGTCATTAGGTGTGATTTACACACTTATCCTTAGATCTGTGCTTGTCATATAGCCTTAGTGTGTTGACACGTACTATATAAAGTCCTTCTTGGTCTCCTGTAACCTTTTAGATTTAAAGTCTGTTTTATCTGATATTAGTATAGCCACCCTGCTCATCTGTGTTTCCTATTTGAGTGGACTCTCTTTTTTCATTGATTTCAGTCTATTTGTGTCTTTGGATTGAAAATGAATCTCTTCTGGACAGCATATAATTGGATCTTTTTAAAAATCCAGCCTGCTGATTTCTGTATTTTCATTATAAAATATGACCCTGCGGATAGAACCCAGTGCCTCATACAGGTGACCAAGCACTCTACCACTGAGCCCCACCCCAGCTCTGTATTTTCATTAGAATGCTTATTCACCTTACATGGAATCACCAACATGGAGGGACTCCTGTCATTTTGCTTTTTGATTTCTATAAAGTTTTCTTGTCCCTCATTTCCTGCAGCACTATCTTTGATTTTTAGTTGATTTTTTATAATGAAACATTAAATTTCTTTCTTGTGTCCTTTTGTGTATATTCTGTAGCCCTTTTCTTTGTGGTTGCCAAGGGAATTGCATTGAACACCCTACAGCTGGAACACTCGAACTTGGATGTGAACCAGCCTTCCTTTTCTTTTTCAGCCTTCCATCCTTCCTTTCAGCCACTGTGTGGGGAAGTTACCTATTTATACATCATGTGCCCCAAAGCATACAACTAACCATTCTGTGAAATGCACAAGCCTCACAAAACTATTGCTACAGTAGTGCCAACTTCTGTAATTACCTATGTATTTGCCTTTACTGAGAACTTAATTCTTTCTTTTGGCTTTGAGCAACTGTCTTGTGTCATGGACACTGCAGGGAATCAGTAAGCACCAGCTGAATACACAGACCAGCATGTAATTTCTGGAATTTACAGCTTTCTCAGAGATGAAACCCAGCATTTCCTCATGGAGAGAGAGGCACACAGTGGTGTTTTTGTTTTTTCATTTTCTCTTTTTAGGTACTGGGGATTGAACTCAGGGGAGCTTTACCGCATAGCTACATCCTCAATCCTTTTTCTTATTATTTTGAGACAAGGTCTTGATAAATTTCTGAGGCTGGCCTTGAACTTGTGAACCTCTTGCCTCAGTTGTTGGGATGACAAGTGTGTATCCCTACACCCAGCCACATTCATAGTTTTGAACCTTGGCTGCACCTTGGATCACTGGAGCATTTTTAAAACTGATTCCTAGCTCCACACAGCCGAGCCACTGAAATCTCTGGGGGCCAAGCACAATTCTGCATAGTTTGTAGATGCCCTTAAGTGCTCCTGCAGATAGCCACAGTTCAGAACCATGGTAGAACCATAGCCAGAGGGAAAATAGTTGACCCTCTCCTTGCTCTGACCAGAGGTGTCATCTGGAGTAGAACAAGCCTCAGTCTATTCTCTTGTTAGGCATTTTTAAGGACCTGCTGTGGTAGAAAAAGCTTCAGGCTCTGGGATACAAAGTGGATAATGCAGCCTCTCTAGTGAGCTCAAGGGCTATGGGGAGTGACAGCAGGGCCACCAGCAGTGCCAGGGGCCTACATCAGTCCTGCAAAGGCCTCAGTGTGGAATTGTTTCCCAGGGAGATGGTGTATCCCGTGGAAGGATTAAAATATACTGTTTTCATTGTGCTAAAGAGGTGTATTCCCTTCCCAGGGTGTCCTCAAGGTGGTAAAGAAGAGTACAGTTTGGTCCTTGGCCAGAATTAGGAGGGAAGAAAGCGGCGCATTGTTTCTCCCACCATCCCCAGAAGTCTTGAAGTCTGGTGGGGACTTTTGGCACCTGCATCTCACTCACAAGGCCACCACTGATTTCAGGCTGCTTTAAGAAGCAACAAGAACCCCTTGGATGTTTAAACAACACACTGACCATATTCTGTGCCAAACTACTGATCCTAGTGATTTTTCTTTCTTCTTTGTACTCCTCCCCTTGAAACGCATATGTGCCCTCAGTTTTGCTGACATGAATTAGTGAAGTGCCAGGGTCCTTGGTGTGGACGTTGACTGCTCCCAGCACCAGCTCTCCTATGGCTCCATTTTCTGGCAAGACTCGTCTCTGCTTAGCCTGACATGGGTAGGTACAAAGCACAGAAGAGTGGCAAGGGCAGAGCCTTTGTTGCAGGCAAGGAAGGGCCAGTGGGACTGGTGTACTGCCCCCGTGGAGTGTCCCACACACCTCCACCCTAGTCAGGCCCTGCTCCTTCTGAACTGCTGGACAACCTTCACATAGAGGTGCTGTGGCTATTTCTGGCCTATGAGGCAAATGCATCATTTCAGTGCCTGCCGGGCAAGTCCCAAGTTCCATTTGTTTGCACTTTTACCCTTTATGTTCAGCATTGTGAGGAATTTGTTATTTCCCTACAGTCCTGAATTCCCTGGCCTTTCACACTGTTTGTGGCCCTGGTGACATCCTCCGATTTGACCCTGAGGGATGTTTGCCTCAAGAGGCCACAGGCTGTTTTGGGTGGGAGCTGCCAGTCTCACTCCTGGCTATAAACAGGCTCTGACTAAAACTTTGATATCCAGCTGGGTCAGCAGCTATGCCAGAGGGGCTGTTTCTGCTCTTGGAAAGTCGCTGGAGCAACATTCATTCACACAGGGATGGTCTACACATTCACTATCCCACCCTATTCCCCCGCTTCCCACAGACTCCCAGGGCCCAGGAGTCAATAACAGGTGTGTGGCTATGCCCAAACGGACTCACCTCCAACAGCCCCAGGCTTTTTAGTGAAAAACAAAAAATTTATTGACTTTTTGACAAATACAAACTTTCAAAATAAGGAAATGGATTTAATCAAAATATTCAGGGAACTGAAACCCATTTTTCTTTGTAGTTATGCACTTTAATATATCATACATAGATGGGATATAATTTCTCATTTTTCTTAGTGTACATGTTGCAGAATAATATTAGTTATGTAATCACATATATACATACAGTAATAATGTCTTGTTTCATTCTACTGTCTTTTCTATCTCCATTTTAAATGCAGTATTTGATTATATAAAATTCTCTGTAGAAAAAGCACCCTAAATTTAGGACTTTAAATCCATAGCAACAAAAAATTTCGTTTACTAAATTGTTCAAAGCACACTGCTAAACATATATGACATTTAAAAATCTCACTGAAAGGGAGAAGCACTGTAGAAAGTGATTTCAGAGAGGTACATCACACAGAATGAAAGTGCCTCAGACTCAAGCCAGTCTCTAGATGCTGTCAGAGTCCTATCCCCAGTAATATGCTGTCTTGGCACCTCCTTTCAAGCCACGCAGCCTTGGAAGACATGGGCCATTTTCATCCAGGCAGTAACCAAATTGCCCAAGGGACTGTGGTTAGAACTAAGGAATCATACAGCCCGAAGGTCCCCGTGGGAGAGAGGAGCGTGGAGGCTTCACGAGGGCTGTGGTGGGCCCAGCCCAGAGGACAGGGAAAGCCAGGAAGGCAGAACCCAACAGGCTAATAGGCTTATGGATGTGAAAACCCAAAGTGGGTGGTAGTGTTGTCATTATTATTATTTTGGAACTAGAGATGTCTAAGCTACATGCCCAGCCCCAGCACCACCACCACCCCTTTTTTTTTAATGTTTGGAGGCAGGATCTTGCTAAGTTGCTTAGGGCTGCACTAAATTGCTGAGGCTGGCCTTGAACTTGCAACCCTCCTGTCTCAGCCTCCCCAGTTGCTGGTTACAGGTGTGCCCATTGTGCCCGCCAAAGTGGGTACTGACAGCATATCAAAGAGCTTCTGAATTCGCGGAGACAATACCAATGTCCTCCCATCTCATTCAAGTTTTTCTCCTTTCCAATCTGACCAAATTACTACTAGGAAAGATAAACGATGAACATTTTATTCCATTTCCAGGAAGACTGCTCCCCCCTTCCCCCTCCCCCTCCCCCTCCATGGCTGCTGAAGAAACCAGATCCACTTCTCTTCTCAGGTCGGGTTCCAGGGATGACTCCCCCCCTGTGGTGCCCATTCCAGCGTGTCTGCACAGGGGTCTGCAGGCTCCCTCTTCTCGGGACCAGCCCTTGGTTCTTTTTGCTGTTGCTCCCGCCATAGCCTGAGTCCTCTGTACCCCTCCTGCTTGAGGGCAAGCTCTTGGCAGGTACAGCTGCCATCCCACCTGTGATTGGCTGAAGTGCCAATCACTCTTCCAAGGGCAGCAACCCAGGAGGTTGTTAGCAGAGCAGCAGCCTGGGAAAGCTGAATGTAGCCTCTCATGTTCAGCAGCATGAGCCCAAGATGTTTTTCAAAAATAATGTTCCACTAGCTACCCTAAGGAGTACGTGCTGTGGCAGACACCAACTCACTTCATTGTAACACCAAATGTCCTCCCAGGGAAGAACTACAGCCTCATTTCTATCACAAGGGAGGAGGGCAGGATCTCCCACTGTGATGAGATGCAGCCTCTTGCAAGCTTGCCTGACCTTTGGAAGTCATGGCTTTGGTAGTGATTCTCTGTGGTCTCCTTGATTGCTGCAAATGAATTTTGCTGTGTGAGACAACTACCCTTGTGTTTTGATCTGATTTAATTCCACTAGCAGGCAGGACTGAGGACATGAAAAGCAACCATGTCAGGGCACAAGGGTACACGGCCATAGCACACGACTACGGCTGAGGATACCAAGGCTGAGGCGCTCCTCTCTGGAACAGGCCAGCCAGCTTTCCACTACATTGGAGCAACAGGGAGGAGACAAATCCTCTTTCCCTCACAGCCCAGAGCCCCAGGAGCAGGCTCCCTGCCCAGCACCCTCCTGGCCACCAGGGGCCCCACACGTGACCTGAATGACCTGCAAACAAGCTCTCCTCTGTTAAGACACACTGCTCACCATGACCTAGTGCTGGGCTGGGTGTGGGCCCCCGGAAGTTACTCCAAGTGTTCTACTTCTTTTTAGACCAGTGAGAAGAGCAGAAAGAGGCTCAGCAGGCACCTGGTCTACATTCCAGGGCCTCATCCTCCCCAGGGTGGTGTCTGCATCCTGGCCTCCTAAGTAGCAACTGTCATCCCAAAGTGCCTCAACACACCATGTTGGGGCAGGCCTTGTGGGCCACTGAAGACTAACAGACTACCACCACTGCCTACACAGGCAGCTAGGAGGGAAGCAGGTGAAGGTGCTCTCTCGAAAAAGGCCCATGGCTGTCCCCTGAGATTAAGGGGTTTACAGAAATGTCAAGTACTATAAGACAAAGTACTATAAGACTGTCATGCATGAAGCTCTCCTCTGAAACATGACAAATGAACATCACCAACATTCAGCTCCAGTGGATTGCAAATGAATGGAATGGAGACAGCCTGTCTCCAAGGTCACACATCAAATTCCCATTCATATTCTTAAAATGACAAACCAGAGACAGAGGACAGTCAAGTTGCTCAGCAGGCTGGGCAAGCATGGACGCGGAACCCAGCTCTGTTACCAATACAGTACCAATGCTTCTCTGGGAAAATGCGACCAAACAAAAGTGAAATTCAGCTGGGCACAGCGGTCTATAATCCCAGCAACTCAGAAGGCTTAAGTAGGAGAATCATGAGCTGGAGACCCAGGCTCAGCAACTTGCACCCTATTGCAAAATAAAAAACAGAAAGGGCTAAGAATGTAGCTAAGTGGTAAGACACCCTGGGTTCAATCCCCAGCACCAAAAAAAAAAAAAAAGTGAAAGAGAAGCTGTCACTGGGCTGAGCGGGACCCAACACCATGTCCACTGGGTGCTTGGAGGCCGTGTGCATGCCACTGGTGCTTTCCTGTTGTCTGAAGGGTAAATGCTAGGGTCTCACAGTGGGTTAAATGTCTAGCTGGACTAAACAAGACAGTTTTCTTGGTGAAAAGCAACTTGGTTCTGAGGAGACGGTGGGCTCTGCCCTGTGCTCACTGCAGGTTTCATGTGCCCCAAGAGAGCGAGAGCTCCAGAAGATCATGACAAGTCAATCTACGGGCGGGGGCCTCACGCGGTGGGAGACCCGTCCTGGAACGCTACACACTAGGCAGGAACGCTACACGCTAGGCAGATTCTCTTGTTTGATTTAATAAGATAATTTGGAAAACGCAGTCATGAGACTGCCAAAGTACAGGGATGCCCTGGAGCAGAGCTTTGCGGGAGGACCAGCCCAGGGGCTCAGAGCACCTTGCTTCCCAGACGCTCCTTCCTGGGGGCCAGGCCATTGTCCTCCTTCTCCCTGGCCAGCCGCTCTGCCGTCTCCATGGGGATGCCCCCGTCCTGGCGCCCCTTCTTCCCTCTATCTTGGGTGGACCCTCTGGCCCATCTCAGCTCATCTTCGTTCCTCCTGGCAAACCTGTCAAACTCAGAGTGAGCACCATGTTTTCTGCTGCTGTCCAGGTGGCACCTCAGCATTTCAGATTCTCTCCCCCGAGGTCTTCTCTCCAGGTCCCTTTGCTCTCCATCACTGTCATCCTGTGACCTGTGGGCCAACAACACAGACGCTGCCTCTACATCTCAGCCCCCTCCATAGAACCATGAAGAGGGGTAAGGAAGGAGGCAAGGGCAAGGGGAAGCAGGAGCAGGAGGACCAAGCACCAAAGATCTACTTCTCTACCACAAAGACCTGGCCAGCAGGAAACACTGGGCTAGACTGGGTGCTGGAAGAACAAACAGGCAAACCTGACAGGAGGACAGCCCATGGAGGCAGTGCCTGCAGGCCTGAGTGCAGGCTGAAGAGGGCGCCCTGCTGACTGGGTGCAACCTGACCGAAGGCCCCGTGTCCACCATGCTCCTGGCAAGACTGAGGCAAAGGCATGAGAGCAGCACGCTCCAGACTCCCAGAACACATGACACATGCTGACACTGTGGATCCATGCCACGGGTGGTAGGAAAGTTCACTCACTTCTCCCTGAGCGCCTCCGGCAGGCTCTCCAGGAGCCTGGTTTTCATCACTGTGCAGGGGGCGTGGGCTTCCCGCCTGCCATCTCCAACACCAGCTTCTTCTCCTCTTTCTTTTGGTTTCTCAGTGGTTGATTCCTCTCCTTTTTCTGGTTTCTTAAGAAGCTGAGAAATTGTAACGTTAACAAATCAGCATTCCAGAGCATATTATAAAAGAAACTTAAATAATTAAAAATGCATATCAATATTAAGCCCAAATGCTTCAATAGCTAAAGAATTAAACCAGAGGTACAAAAAGCAGGTTTTTGGTTCAACACACAGTGGATTTGTCAATGAAGTATTCTACAGTTATGAAAAATGATGTTTTGAAATGAAAAGATGCTCATGTTAGCAATAAAAGAACATTACAGAACAGAACAGCCACCATGATCTGGTTTTATGTACACACAACACAGCCACGCTCGTTCAACAATGGGGGACACCAAGAAGGGTCAGACCACTGCAGCCTGGCCCATGAGCACATATGCCCTCAGTCTCCAGACCACTTCCGGCCCTCAGGTGGTATGAAGCGCCAATGCCCGCAGGCTCTGACACTCACTGATCACCATTCTTGGTGGTGGAACTCTAAGCATTCCCCTTCTTGTCACCCACAGGTCTGTTCTTTAGAACATCTATGGTTGTCAGTTCTTTTTCGTGGTGCTGGTGATTGAACCCAGGGCCTTGTGCATGTGAGGCTAGCACTCTACCAACTGAGCTACATCCCCAGCTTCCAGTCTATAGTTTTCAAACACTGCCTTTTCTATTCCTTGAAGCAGGGATTGGACATCTGCACACGGGCCTCCCCAGAGCCCAGCACCACAGAGACTCCGTGCACCACTAGGAGGTGCGCTCTGGAGACCTCTGTCCTCACCATGAAGGGAGCGTGTTTAAACCTGCAGTGCAGGAGAGCCCCTGACATGGCATGCTCCACTGAAGGAATCCCCGAGACAAGCACCAGCTGTCTCTCACCCTGTGGATGCCAACCAGCAATGCCCTCTTCCTGCAGCTGTGTGGAGTCATGACCTTCGACATTCCTTTTTAGGGAACTGTCCACCTTTCTTTAAATTACATCAGCAGTGTGTCTGAGATAAATATGAGCATTATAGAAGTACAATAGTCTCCATGCCCCTTCACTCAACAAATAATTTCATGTGCCTAAAACCGCAGTTACTCACACTTACGAGAACATCTACCTGGTGTCTGTCCCCAGGCAGGTTCCCACTCCAGGTGCAGAACTCAGGTTGTCACTGGTGCCTCTGACCCTCTTACCCATCCTGGCAAAGACTGGATAAGCAGTAAGGACTTACAGAACTCAGAGGTACTCCACTTCCCACCACTGTGTACTGTACAGGTGCAACTGGGAGCCCCTCCCTGGTGTGGCTGCTGGGGGCCATGTGCCCTGACTCCAACTCAAACCCATCCAGAATCTCCGTGTTCACCAACCTGGAGGAATCTTAGGTGTTATTCTGAGGTTCATCACAAAGGCAGGATTAAGTCCCCAGCTGCTAGTGACTAATAGTCACCAGCCCTCCTGGGAGACTGCAGGTGGGCTCAAGGCCCCACTCTCCAGGCCCACCCTGGTCTTCCTGGCAACCAGTCCCCAGGCTGAGGCTCTCTTGCTGGCATACAAGACACATCCCTCTGCAGAGACCAAGTGTCCCAGTTGAGACTGGGCATGAGGACCCTCTGTTGATCACTGGGAATGTGGCTGTGAGACAGATGTCCCTCCACACCATGGCTGGCATTCTAGCCAAGACAGTAGTCCTCCTAGGGGTGGAGAGGAACAAGCTCAGTTCAGGTAGAGGTGGAAAGCTCCACATACATACTAAACCAGAGTTGAGAAGCACAGAGACCCAGGGAGAGGGACAGAAGAAGGGAGACTCTGCAGAGGTGAGACAGAAACTGAGGCCAGGAGAGCAGCAGCCAGGGCAGGGCTGGGGAGAGCAGTCCACATGTTTAAGAAGGACAAAGCAAGCAGGGCTAGGGTGAGCCAGGAGGAAGATAGTGGGGACAGCACTATGGGCTCCGGAAGCGCAACACCGCGAGGCTTCCAGAGACCAAGGGCTGCTGAGGTCAGGCATGTTCCTGTCTGGTACAAGTGTGCTGATGCTCATACATGTAATCAGGTCCTGCTCTGTGCTTGCACTACATATGCACACCCCAATCACTCACACACACCAGTCAGAACTTCTCCAGATAACTGGTCTAGAGCCACCACTGATTCAGGGATTCTATCTGCATCTCTGGGACCCAACCTCCCCATCAAGCTCCCTGTGGGCTTTGGCCCCTGTGCTCCTTTCTCTGTGAACATCACCCTTAGGCTGTGTGTATGACTTCTTTTGACATTGCTGCAGGTTTTATTTTTGAGGTTCTTAAGAAATTGGAACTCTCCAGATGGTTCACAAGTCAGAGAGCCCAAATCACACACACCTGCCTGTTAAGAGCTAAACAGGTGGATGACCTCACTCATGAGTCTCCCTCCACCCTCAGGCTGGGAGCCATAGCTGTTCTCAGGATTGACCTGCCTAGCTCTTCCTCTAGTCTAGCTGTTGTCATGTTCTAATTTCTTCCTCCTATGAAGGATGCTGGACTTACTTTTGTTGACTTAAATTTTATTTATTTATTTAGCTTATTTTAAATTTTAATTGCATACTCAAAAATACGGAAATAAAACACTATACTCCAAATACTTCAAAAGTCCTACTTAAAAATTATAGTTGAAATTATAGACTACAAGTTTCCATGGTTCTTTTTGAAAAACTAGTGGTAATCTACGGACTATAAAATATCAGGCACTGGGTTAGCTGCTAAGGTTCACAGGGTGTCCCCTCCGTGTTCCTGGACACGACAATAAGACAGAACTGAGTTCTGGAATGACAGGTGTAGACAGCGGTGACAGTGACTGGGAGACCAGTATCTGAGATTAAGGTCCCTGATGACTTCATGACTGTGGCATACTTGGGGACTGGGAAAGTTTCTGTGCAAAGGCATAGATGCCTAGTTGCTATGGAGATATCTTCCATGCTGGAGTCTTATCAGCTTCAACCTTATTGACAGGCAAGGCAGCTCCTGGGAACCAAGGAACTTCCCTGCTAAGATAACAACATTTCACCAGTTCCGCTGCTCCTTAATCGGCAAGTGAGTTAGTAACTTTAGACACTGGACTTTCTTGAGAGATGCACAAGGCTCCTGACACTGCCCACTGCAACTGTAGAATGTGACTGAGGAAATAGCTGCATACTCTTGCTAACTCTGTAACTTTCATGAATACAAAGAATAATGTTTGCCTAGTATTTAACCTGATTTAGAGACACATAATAATAAAGATTGCTGGTGTAATTTTTTAGACCTGCTTTGCCACCAGAGAGCAGCGATTTGCATGTGTTGACTCTTTATTTCCTTCAAATATCCCATGCCCCTCGCTGAAACCTGCTAGTTTGGCGGCATTGGTCACAGCAGATGGGCACCTCCCTTCTCGGCCAGACTTCACTGTACCATGGAGCATGAGCCCTGACCCACACGTACACAGAGAACTCTCCGCGCTCGCTCCAAGCAGCTTCCTGAGGAAAACCCCTGATCCACCCATCAGGTGTCTGTCTATGTAGTCACAGCTAGGCTCTCTGTTTTCAATAGCACTATATATTTTAAACCAACACAGATCTGCATCCACTTCTTACCCCAGTCAACTTGAACTCTATGGGTGGCTGTTTGGCACAAATGGTCACCTGCCTACCTGGAGAACCTGCTTCCACTTTTGAAGCAAGTGGGCTTGAGTGGCCTGGCTCTTGTCCCATCATGAAGTCTACTTTGCACAAATGTCCTTAAGCTTTTAGAGACAGTTGGAGACACAGTCCTCAGCAGCTATGTCAGTCTTCAGTAGTCTCAAGCTTTCCCTCTGAACTAAGGGGCCATGTGAGTTGTCCTGGCCACTTACATGGGGAAGATCACATGCATGACTTCCATGTGCAGTTTTAAGAATCCATGTCCAGTCTCCCACGTCCATTTCCCCTTCTCATCCTCAAGATGGTAAAAGCAAATACCAAGGGGGACACTCTATCAGCTCAGGTATAGCACCAGCAGCAGTGCCCAGAGATGCACAGCACTGCCAGGATGCCCTGGCCAGGTCAAGCTGTGAGACTCTGGGAATAGCAGTCCTGACAGGTAGACATATGTGCGTGCTTCTGTAGGATGCTGCTGAGAAACTGTCCTCTCTGTGGCTAGCGAATCCCCAGGAGAGATTCTCTTAGAAAAAAGACCCAGAGAAAACTCCACTTCCTGGAAGAGCTGGTGTTTTCTGAGAAGCATGATTCTGACCAAATTTTCTATTTCTGACTAGTATCAGAAAGTAATCTGTGCTATAGCTGTCTCTTTCCCACTCTCCCTGAGTCCTGATGTTTTTTCTTTTTCTTTATGTTGTACAATTCTATCGAGCCTCTATAAGGTACCTAACTTCACAGAGGATTTAAGGTACCTCTGTGAAGTTAGATACAATCACATTGGACTGAAATCTGGGTTTAATAAGGTCCCAAGCAGACAAAGCTGATCCCAATTCTGACCAACACATATTACAAAGAAAAATCCCCTTGAAGCATTTGAACAAATACATCCCTCATAAGAGATACTAGGTGAGAAAGAGCTGTCACCACAAGAGAATGATGAGCCCAAGTTTGAGCACATGGAAAGACAGTGGTTCTAAATGGGTACTTTTCAGCCAGGAAAACTTTTCTTTAAAGAAAGATGTGAGTAGATACCCCATATGTGGGCTCCTCTGCTCTCCAGGTCCTGTGGTCCCCATAGACAGTCCAGGAGCCCCTGGGGCTGGGCACAGCCTTAAAAACCCCAGCTATAGAATGGAAAGGGAGCTCTAACAATAAAGACTAGGTCAACTGAAAATCTGCTTAAAATTCTAAGGACCTAAAAGACCTCAAAAGCATAATTCACATAGCGAAACTGTTTTTGGAAAAAAAAAATGGAATGGTTCCTCACAACTACCTGGATCTTCACTTCTTTCTCAGCAGTCTTCTTTTGTTTATCTGCCTCCTTTCTTTTGCATTTTTCTTCTTCTTTTCTCTTTCTTTTTTCTTCTTCCCGCAAACGTTTCTTTTCTAGCTCTCTCCGCCTCCGTTCTTCTCGCTTCTCTTCTCGAATTCTCTGAAAGTATGGACAAGTACTGTGTAAGTTTTCTGAATGGAAACAGCAGATGCAAAAAGGATATTCACCAGGTAAATGCCAGACCTACCTGCTTTTCTAATTTTCTATTTTTAATATATTCCAAAAGAGGCGTGGTTCTTCTAGCTAAAACACAAAAAACTATAATGCACACATGTAACTTCTAAATAAAATTTTCTTATTTAAATACTAATTTCCAATTTAACCTTTAATTTGGGGACATATGTCATTTTAAAAATCTACATGAGCGTGCACTGTATCCAGGGGAGTTCTTATTCCATTACTATAAACCAAGCAATCTGGAAATGCCCAGCAGACATGCAGCTCTTGATTCTTAAAGGAGTCATAAAATACTACTCATGGGGGCTGGGGAGATAGCTCACTTGGTAGAGTGCTTGCCTAGCATGCACAAAGCCTTGAGTTCAATCCCCAGCACCACCAAAAATAAAATAAGATACTATTCACAAAGACAGTATAAAAGTAAAATGAGAACAATATGTTTAACTTGCCAAATGTTACAAATATGTCTTTGTATGTTTAAAGAAATCATTAAATTATAAATTCATATATTCACTTTAATACTTCTCCATTTCCTATACAATAGTTATAAACCTGTAGGTTCTTGCAAATTTTTATAATCCAGGTTGAGCATCCCTAATCAAAATCTGAAATGTTCCAAAATTTGAAACTTTTGAACACTGATTTGACACCTTGAATGGAAAATCCCACATCGAATCTCATGTGATGAGTCATTCAAAATGCAAGTGCTGAAAAATAGTGCAGGTGAAGTGCAAGGTGTGCTGAAACATGGGAGCTGAATGTTTGGACCTGGGCCAGCCCCAAGGTGGCTTATTAAATGTATGCATATATTCCAAGCCCCCAGAATAATCCTAAATCCAAAATAATTCTGGTCCAAAACATCTCAGATATAGGATACTCAACCTGTACATTCATTCTCTGTAAAATCAGAATATAGACTGCAGCTCAGAAAATGATACTATAAGTACTGCTGTTCAAAAACAGCGCCATCATTATATGAATCTGAAGAAACTGTAGAATGCATACCACAAATGCTAATCCGCCCTTCATAACAAGGAGAATCCAGACAGAGTCTGCCCTTCATAATAGGGGTCACTTCATGATTTTAATTTGGAGCCTTTAATTATTTTTGTCACTTATTAGCTCTTTTTTGGGGGGGGGGGTGGTACTGGGGATTGAACCCAGGGCCTTGTGGATGCAAGGCAAGCATTCTATCAACTGAGCTATATCCCCAGCCCTTGTCACTTATATTCTACAACCAATCCACCTATCCTCCCTATCTATTTTACCTCCAAAATATATGCTGCATCTCCCAGTCTAGTACCAGTAGCCTCCTGGGTACGCAAGCCTCTCAGCCAGTGCCCAAGCCTGTCCCTTGATATTCACAATTCACCCTGGATGCAGCAATGACAGGAGCAAACAAATCAGCTCCTGTGGCTCCCTAGAAGCACTCTAGGCCCCTAACTAGTACCCCAGAAGACACCAGGCTTCCTATGCCTCTCAACACACAGCAGATAATGCATTCTGCTCCCGCAAAGTCCCAGCCTCCAGCTTGTTTCTTCATTCAACTGTACTCAACTCCTAAACTACTATGCTCTGGGAAAACAAAGTTGAAAATATGGTCCCTTGGGGAAGTGGAAAAATGAAAGGAGAGGAAATTTACATGGAATGAGACCAACAGATAAAATTTAACAGTGACTGTCACATCACACAAGTCTTAAGTGAGCAGGAACAGTCTCGTGGAGATGCAATAGGGCCTGGTAGAGTGGCCCAGCACTAAGCAGACCAGCGAGGAAGGAGGACACTGCCAGGTGCATGTGGCACTCAACTACAGCATCTGCCTGGTGACAGAGAAGAGACTTCGCATTCACAGGGAAGTGTCTAGGGATGTGACAGGTGTGCTTCTGGGGTACAAGGTTAAGTTGGATCCTAACTAGACCCTGTGCTCTGGCTGAGAGTTCACGGGCTTGGCTGGCTTCCCCCAGTGCTTGGTACTCTTCTGACTGCAGCACCTCATCTCTACTGGCTCCAGACGGCCAGAGCACTCCCATGTCTTCAGCACTGATCCTTCAGAGGCTGTGGCTTAGAGTGACTGTCTAGAAACTCAGGTGCTCTCCATCAGTAAAGCTCAGAAACATCCATGCCCTCTGTCAACCACCCTTCTGTCAAAACAGAAAAACACATTAGGGCTGGGGCTGTGGCTCAGGGGTAGAGCACTCGCCTAGCACGTGCAAGGCCCTGGGTTCGATCCTCAGCACCACATAAAAATAAATAAAATAAAGGTATTGTGTCAAACCAAAAAATAAATTTAAGAAAAAAACTGGAAAACACTGCAATTCTGCCAAGTCTACAACAAACTAAATCTTTACCGTAATCTTGAAAAAAAGGAATAAATATTCTATATATGAGTATCTCCATAAAGAAAAGAGAAATGAGAAAAACAGACCAACGAGTTCTCTTGTCTTTGCCTCTACCTCTCCCAGAAGGATTTCAGGATTGGCACTGGTTTTCTCTTCCTCCACACTGTATGTTTCTAAAAACTGCTTGTATTCTGGATCTGTAAGTTGAAAAAAGAAAAAAAATAAACATATTCCTCCTCAAACACAGGAGAGGATGACACTGGGCCAGGTGTCTAACCTCGCAGCTCCTGATCCAGCATTTCAACAGTCTTACCATCTTCGATGCTCCCGGTCTTAGTGTCTTTTTTCTTCAGCTTCTTTTTGGCTATCTTCTGGAATGGGGCAAACTCCACCACTGCAGGGTACTCCAGGCCTGTGACCAAGACACAGTCCAAACTCTGAACTCTGCCTTGCTCACTCACCTAAGATCAAGCAAACTCCAGACTTGAACAAAGGACAAGCTGGTGGTAGGAGGACAATCTTCACTAATGACATGCCCCATTGTGGGGCTTCATGGCTGAACACATTCAGATCTTCAGACTGCTAACTTGAAAGGGTGGATTTCACCAGACTGACCTCCCCACCCCTTCCAAACACTCTTGTCACTGAAATATCTTTAGCCAACTTAGCTACATAATTTTTTTTGTTGTTTTCAAAGGTTAATTCAGTTACCAATCTGTTATACAATTCAAGGAAATTACTTGGCTTATAACAGACACAGAACTAAAGGGAAAGGGTGCTTCAAGGGTATGTATCATGTTCCAAATAAAATTTGTTTCCAATAAAAATGTAGAGAATGGAAGCAGTAGAAACTGATTTGTTACTGTTTGGAGCAGGAGAAAGAAAACAGATGCTCACTGAAAAATATCTGTCACATGTTTGATCAACACATGAAGCACTAGCACCTTGGAGCCAAATCTAATGAATAATTATTTTCAGTAATGTCAATAATGGTCAGGTGATTGATTTTTGATTCCTATTTATCTGGAAAACATTTTTTTTGTGTGTGCCAACCTCAACTACACAGAATAAAGTCAAGAATGAGAATGAAAATGGCACTTCAGCAGGGGCGATGTCAACTCCCTCCTGCACCGATTCCCGGGACATGGCAGTTACATGCTAAAGACAGCAGAATGCTCCCTGATTTCCACACTTACTACCAAAGTACAGTAATCAAAACAGCGTAGTACTGGCCTAAAGACAGACATACCCACCAGGGAACTACAACACAGGGCCCAGAAAGTCCCCTGGATTTATGTTTAAGTGACTTTTGAAAAGACTGTCATGACTAAATGGGGGAAGGATGGACTCTCCAACAATGGTGCTGGGAAAACTGAATCCGGTGCAAAGGAATTAAATTGGACTCTTACCCAACATTATTCACAAAAATTAAGATGGAACAAACCTAAATGAAATGCTTAAAACTCTTTGGAAAAAACGTAGCAGAAAAGCCCTAAACTGCTGGATTTGGCAATAAGTTCTCAGATACAACTCTAAAAGCAAGAGCAGCCATAGAAAAATAGATCAATTGGCACCAAGTTTTAAACTTCCAAGCATTAAAGAATACAATCAACAGAATAAAAACAATGTATGGAATGGGAGAAAATGTTTGGGAATCTTATATCTGAAGAGGCTAACATCCAGCATGCACACAGACTTGTATTCAGCCACAGAGAGGTACTGACTGAGATACAGACAAAGCAGGCTCAGCATGTATCTCAGTGGTAGAGTGCTTACATGGCATGCATGAAGCCAAGTTCACTCCCAGCACCATAAAAAAAAAAAAAAAAAAGAGAGAGAGAGAGAAAGAAAAGTACAAAGGACTTGAATTGAGTATTCCCCCAAAGATTATCTACAAGAGGCTAGCATGCATAGTATGAGACTGCCTCAACAGACAAATCTAAATCACAATGCGATATGAGAGCCAAACAGAAAATACATGCTGGTGAGGAAGAACAACAACAGAAGCCCTTGTGCACTGCTGGTGGTAGTGCAGAAGAGCGTAGTCACTGGGGAACAGCTTGGCAGCTCCTCAAAATACTAAAAATAGAGTGACCGTATACCCACCAATCCCACCTCTGGGTATTTGTACAAATGAACTCAGAGAAGAATTTCAAAGACCTATCTGTGCACTCAGGTTCACACAGCTAAAACCTGGAATATTATTCAGTCCTACAAAGGAAGGGAATTCTGTAGCACGCTACAACATGGATGGGCCTTGAAGACATTATTCTAAGTCACAAAAATAAGCCAGTCACAGAAACACAAATGCTGTGATTCACTAATAAGAGGTATGCAGAGTAGTCAAATTCATACCCCAGAAACAGAAATAGACCTGGGGTTGCCAGGAGCTGGGGATGAGGGATGTGGAGTTAGTATTTAACTGTTATAGTTTCAGTTTTGTGAGCTGCAGGGAATCCTGGCAATCAGTTGAATAAGGTGAATATACCTAACACTACTGAACTGTATATTTAAAAAAGGAAAAATCAATAATTTTGTTATCTATATTTTACCAATATTTTTAAAAAGTTAAAAAAAAAAAAAGACAAAGAACAGCGCAATTAACACAAATGTCCCAATAGTTCAAGTACTAAAACTTCCCTTTACTTGACTATGTCTTGGCCCCTAGCTCTGCCACTCTAATGACCTCCTCTAGCCTGACACCCTCAGTGGAGGAGGGGAGGTGAATGGCAAGAGGCAGGCAGTCGGGGGCTGAAAACAGTTTACCATCAATGATTTATAGACTCAACAGCACAGGACCATGTGACAGGAGAGGAGAAAGAAAAACACCAAAAGCAGACCCAGAAAGGGTAGGCAGCCCCCAGGCAATACCACCCAGCACAATCAGTCACAGTTTCAACCCCTTCCCCACAACATTATCAAGAACTGTTAATCAAGAATACACTGCAATTTTACATAATGCCCAATTAGTAATTGTTATGTAAAATTGTGGACGTGTAACCGACATGATTCTGCAATCTGCATTTGGGGTAAAATTGGGAGTTCATAACCCACTTCAATGTAGGAAATATGATATGTCAAGAGCTTTGTAATGTTGTGAACAACCAATAAAAAAAAATACACTGCAGAATACTTCATTTAGGAAGACAAGATATAGATACATTTAGAGATTTTCTTTCAATTACAGGAAAAATAATTTAGTTCTGACATAAAGTTCATTTATCCAGAGAATTGACTCAAAAAACTCCATTTTCTAATGATAACCTTGTCATCATCACACAATTTCTAGAATTCCTTGGTTTATCATTTTAATGTTTTTTTTAAAAATATTTTTTAGTTGTCAATGGATCTTTTATTTAATTTATTTATTTACATGTGGTTCTGAGGATCAAACCCAGGGCCTCACCCATGCCAGGCAAGCATTCTACCACTGAGCCAAAACTCCAGCCCTCATTATAATGTTTTTAATGTATCAGCACATGATACAGTAGCAGTCAAATTTTATGGTATTACTTTATATGACTGAGAATTTCTTAATCAAAACTCACAAACATCCCATCTTCATTAGAAGAGTTTAAAAGCCAGGAACCCAACCTTTATTGCCAATGAAGACATATCCATCAAAACGGTCTCTGAACAGAAGGATGTCATCAGGGTCCCTAAAATTAATGTATGCTCTGGAGTACAGATGAGGGTGCAGACTGAAATACAGGACAGCAGAAGCAGTTAGTAAAGATGAAATACTCCTGGAACTTTGCCCTTTTTCTTCTTTTCTGGAAATGGCAAACTACTTCAGATAAAGCCTTTCTGTCAAAGGTTCATCTCTCAGTTAATTATAACAATCTGGATATTTTTCTGCAAGAAACTGAAAACACAAATAAGTCACAACCTGAGGGCTTTTTACTGGGGAGAATGTTTTGGGCTAGTTTTGCCACTGTGCAGAGCCAGGAAACAAAGGTCACCTGTGGCATCAGGACAGGCAGGCCACTGTGCCCTCTGAGAAGAGAATGCTGACTGTACCATCTATACCGAAGAAGAGGCACTTCCAGGCACTTTAGTACTTACAGCGGCACACAGTATGGGGTCTACAGCAAACTCAGCCTTCCTCCCCTATCTCATAGCCACCTCTGTTAAATAGGGACTTAGACAGAGGCAGGTATGTCCAGGCACTGAGAAGGACCCAGCTGGCAGGTGTGGCAGCTAGGAGAAGCCCGAGGCCACCTGGGGACTGGTCTTCACTAGCAACACCAGGGTATACATGCAGGACTGACCAATTGTTCTCTCTTCACATGCTTTAAAGCTACATGGAGTAAGGTCTGGTGTCACCAAATAACTTTTGGACTGTGAGGACATCACAGAGGGCTCTTGCTAAGTTCCATTAATGCCCTGCCAACTCAGGAATGTCCTGCAGAAGGCAGTCTGTGAGAACTTCTGGGTCCTGTGGGGAGATGGAAAAGGAGTGGGTTGCTGCTACCCTGAGCTTCTCGCCCACACCACGAACCTGGCGCCAAAACCTACCTGAGGTCTGCGGCCACCACCTCAAAGTAGTCGTGCGCAGGCAGTGGGTGCAGCTGTTCCTCCAGCTGCTCCTTTGTGAGGCCTGGTGGCAGCCGTCTGAGGACCACCTGAGGGACAACGCCGGCTTGTCACTCCGGGGGCGTCCCCCAATTGACCGCCAGCCGGAAGACCGGCCAGCCTCAGTGTGCATCCCACCCTCCAGCCAAAGGTCACCCCCGCCCAGCACATCTCACCCTGCAACCAAGGGTGCCGCGGGCCTGGGAGGCCTGCTCCCCTCCCAGACACACTCGGGCCGACCCTGCTCCCCACCTGGGCACTGCCACCCCTCACACCAGAAGGACCAGCGTCAAGGCGCAGTCCCCCGCGGACCAGGCCTTCACCTGCACAGAGCCAGCCTCCCCAGAGCAGGCACACCTCGCCCTTCCAGGTCCGCTCCACACCAGCTCCGGGCCGCCCTTTGGCCTCGAGCTTCCCCACTCCGTCAGCCCCGCCCCGGGACCGCCTTTTCTCCTAGGAAGTTCTGCACCCCGCCCCGCCGGCCCCTGGTCCCGCCCGCAATGGCTTAGGGCCGTCCCGTTCTCCTAGTGAAGTTCTCCCCGCCATCCAGTCCCCGGCCCCGCCTCGCGCAGGGCTGCCCCTTCCTCCTACAGAAGTCCGGC